GGACCACTTGTGGAAGAAATGGGTTGGGATCCGTGGTTTGGGGTCCGTGGGTTGGGGTCCATAGGTTGGGGTCCATGGGTTGGGGTCCATGGGTTGGTGTCCATGGGTTGGGGTCCATGGGTTGGGGTCCATGGGTTGGTGTCCGTGGGTTGGTGTCCATGGGTTGGGGTCCATGGGTTGGTGTCCATGGGTTGGGGTCCATAGGTTGGGGTCCGTGGGTTGGGGTCCGTGGGTTGGTGTCCATGGGTTGGGGTCCGTGGGTTGGGGTCCGTGGGTTGGTGTCCATGGGTTGGGGTCCGTGGGTTGGTGTCCGTGGGTTGGGGTCTGTGGGTTGGGGTCTGTGGGTTGGTGTCCATAGGGTTGCACGTGGCAGTCCTTGGGCAATGGGAGATGGGGAGTTTTTGAGTCAGGAGATGTTGATGTGTGCTCCCAAAATGGAGAATGATGGCCATCCTCTGCCTCTCCCCTCATGGGGACCCCATGGGTCATTGAGAGATGATGGTGCCCGTGGGCTGTGGGACCCAATGAATGGGCCATGGGGAAGAATGAGCCGTTGGGACCAAGAAACAATGGCACCTGTGGGCATTGGGAACCCAGAGAGTGGAACCCATGGGAATGAAGACCCATAGGCAGTGGTAGCCAGGGGGACCCATGGGACCAACAGGATGGCACCTGTGGGTGGTGGCATCCATGGTGGTACCCACAGACCATGGAGGCCCACAGCAATGAGCTGACGCCCATGGCTGGCAGAAAAGCCCTCATTTGTGGGGTCCTGGAGCTGGGGATCGCTGGAGGACCGAGGACCACAGACATGGGAGGACTGACATGGCCCAGGATGGGCGTTTTGCGTCACTCTGAGCCTCAGGCAGGGAAGGGCAGATGGCTGTGCTTGATGGTGGCACTCCTGATCAGTTTTGGAGTAGGAAATAACAGGATTTTTGCTGTTTGTGTTCAATATTCTCCTTCCTTGATTTTTTTTTTCATCTCTCAATTGCAGCTACGTGTTCCACCTTGGAGGAATTAAACTTTCCTCCCTCCCAACCAACTTCATCCATGTTTACACACAATTGCTGTTACGTCTATATAGAAACCACACAACAGTGCACTCCCTAATCCAGGGCACCACCATTTCCATATGCAGATATATTCCCTCCTTCTGCCTTCACAAGCAGCAGCAGAATAACATTTCTACTCGGAGCGCTGTGTTTTCTTATCTTAAAAAGAAAAAAAAAAAAAAAAGTGTTTCGTTATTTTGTTAATGGCCTGAGTTACGAAGCACCGTCCCGCAGCCCTCAGGCCTCAGACGTTCACTGCCTTCCACTCAGGATCACGGCGCCACTTCCGCGTTTACGCGCGCATCCGCGTTACTCCGTGGAGGACCGAAAACCATCGATCTTGGAGGACTGGTTGAGCAGAGCGGTTGGAGCAAAGCAAAAGCCCTTTTGCGGTTTCGTGCGCATGCGCAGTGCGAACAGGAAGGCCCATTACCATAGACATGAGAGGACTGGCGGGGTAGAGCGGTTAGAGCAGAGAAACGCCATTTCTGCGTTCCCGTGCGCATGCGCAGTACGACCAGGAGGAGAAACATCCACGCGGGGGCTTCGGCTTCGGAGGCTGCGGTTCTCCTGAGCAGCTCTGAGGGTCTCCTTCCTCCTCTGAGCCTTGGGACTGAAGATGAGAGCCTGGCTGGGCACGGGGCAGGCGGCTGGATGCCCACTGCCCAGTCCACGAGCTCTCCCTTCAGCCCCCACGCACAGCACGGGGGGAAAATTCACTCCCTGCTGCCCCCAGGAGCACCCACAGCCATGCAGGGTCTGCCCTGAGCCCTGCAGGACCTCTGCGCTGCTCCCACAGGTCCTGGCAGGTCACTGGAGCACCCAGGATGTTCCCCCGTATGATGCAGGATGGGCTCTGGGAACTCCACTGCCACACACGGGGCTGCAACTCCTCAAGTCTCTCTCCAAAAACTCCCAAATGCACTTTTCCTGCTCGCTTTCAAATTAGGTTTTTAATTAAATAAATAACGGCGAGGGGCCTTCAAGGCAGTATCACTTCACAGTGTAGGGCATGAAGGTGGGAAGGGGGGAAAAAAAAAAAGAGTCCAGCACTGGGAGCATCTCCAAGTGAATGTGCTTTGTAAGAAGGAAAAAAAGAAAACCCCAACAAAAAGCAAACGTCCTCCCCCTGTGCCTCCCCTCCCCATCCCGGCCCTTTCCACCCCTCTCCCTTTAAAGTGATGTGGAAAAATGCGCCGCGCTCTCCTGTTGACACGTTGAAAGACCCCATGCGAATCTGTAAACAACACTGAATAATATAAATAAGAGACACTTCTGCCTCCTCCAGCCTCCCCTCTGCTCTCATCGGGGCTTGAAACAACCCAAAGAAAAAAATAGTTTCAGGAAAAACTAAAAACCTTCTTGGCTGATGGAGAGGAGAAGCCAAGGCCCGGCCCTCCCCAGGAGGGCTGCAGCTGCTCTCTCCCTGCCCCCTCCTCTCCTTCCAGCCAAGCAGCTTCCTCTCTCCCCCAGAAAGGGGGAATCACAGCCTGGGAAGTTCCACTATGGAGCTGGCATTTGGATTTGCTTTCCATTTCCAGCAGCTGGGTGCAGCCAAAGACCTCTGTTTTACCATATGTGGTTCGCAGAGCGATGCCCGGTCACAAGAGCATTGTGTCAGGATCTTGGCACAGCTCAGCGTTGGCTGGGACTGAAACAACCCCCTGCTGGCATAGGGGAACAGGTCTGGGGCTCAGAAGGTGAGAGACGAGGTCTGATCCTAAGCCATCCCTTGAAGCTGTCTGGCACTGTCTCTGTGCTCCCTCCGCAGGAGTGCAGCCTCACCATGCCAGGTAAAACGAGGATCCAGGCTAATAGTTTTAGTCATCTTCCAAATCCACTGGCAGCAGAAGCAACTGCAGGATCACAGCCTGAAGGCTTCTACCAAAATAAGCAAAAAAATCTTAACCCAAACCCCTTCTCAAACACAGAAAACGTCTGGAGGAAGGGAACACCTGCACCAGAGCCCTGCCTAGCAAATCAGCATTCCTTGCAGGGGAGCAGGGAATGAGAACCATTAGTGGATTTAAGCCTGGGACAAACCCTAGACCTGGCACAGGTCTGTGACACCAATTGGCCACCACAGCTCCCTGCAAGGCAGCTGGCCACCTCCTACCCACCCCATCACCTCCTGAGTGCTAATGGCAGTACAGACATCCCCTTCTCTCTTTTATGAGAGTTTGGGGTGATGTTTTAGAACAGAGGTGGGTGGAAAGGGAAAGGAAAAGGAATTTGCCATGTGCTCTTCCGCTGGGTCTCGGTGCTGGCATTGGTGCCCTACACTCACTGGGTGCCCCAGGGGCTGAGGTGCACACTGTGTGGTGTGCTCAAAGTGGCAGTGAGGATGTCTGGTGCTGCTGTGGGGCAATTTTCTCTGATTCCAGCAGTACAGGGGCTGAAAGCTGTCACCCTCCCAGGATGCACATCCATCCATCCCGCATTCGGCTCCAGGGAGACGCAGACCAGTGGTGGGGTCAGAGCAGCTAACAGCTGCCTTGTGCTGGTACCTTCTGCTTCTCCATATTCACCTTCACCATTCTAGCTCCAGCCACTGTCCAAAGCGAGATTTAACTCAGAGATAACCATTCCCTTCTTCTGCAAAGAAAGGTGGGAAAGGCTTAAGCATGCACCATACTAATGCAGCATCCATTTCCAAGCCCTGAAGCTTTGGCCAGAGGGCTGGAAGAGTTTGCACCACTGCACCTGGGGGCAGTGTGGGCAGAGGGAAATGCACACTGCAGGAGTTTTTGAGAACAGCACTGTGTGCACCACCACGACCCACAGCTCAGAGTGCAGGAAAGCTGCGAGAAGGGGAGGGGGGAGAGTGGCTTCTATTGCAATGCACTACATGTGAGTGAACAGCCAGGACTCCTCACCTTCCTTTGGCATCACCATGCTCACCTCTGCTGGTGAACAACCCTCCAGCCCAAGCAGACTGTGCTCCATGCTGATTTCCTAAGCTCTCAGACCCTCTGTCCAAGCCCTGAAGTGCCCGTAATACATCCCTGTTTTCAAAACATCTCTTCACTCAGACTGTCCCATTGGGCCAAAGGGCACTT